GGTGGAGGTAGACGAAGGAGTCGAAGGTGAGGAGGGAGACGAGGGCGTGGTCGGGGAGGTGGTGGAGGAGGTGGAGGAGGTGGTTCTTGAGGGGGAGGAGCTGGTGGTCGGGGGTGGAGAGGTCGAGGAGGAAGAGGAAGGCGGGGGGAGGGGGAGAGGGAGGGAGGAGAGAGTACTCGACGGTGCTGTAGGTGGGAAAGAGCTCGGCGGGGAGGTTGGTGTCGGCGATGGGGCGGGGGAAGGGATTGCGGCGGGAGCAGAAGGGGCAGTGCCAGATGCGTGACTGGTAGTCGAGTCGGGCGTAGGGGTTCAAAACGGCGCCGCATCTGGAGCACCCAAGTGGATCGTATGGCAGAAGAGGGACATCGCTGCTCTGCATCAAGGCCAAGGGTGTGCACATTATGCTGAGAGGGATCACCAGACTGTTACTGCTTTTCTTCCCCTCCGCCGGCCATGAATTCCACGTCCATCGGAGCCCTTCCACCGCCTCCAACTCCACCAGGTCCATCCCAATTCTCTCTCTCCTCAACTTTATTACCCTTCTCTTTTACTCCATTCTATCCTCCAACTACAACACAACCTTCCTACTTCCTACTTCCTACTTCCTACCCCTACTACTCCACTTTATTTTCTCTCTCCCACGTTAATTTATCCCTTCTTTTTCCTATTAACCATTACTCTTATTTACTTTACTAAATCCCATTCATCCTTATTTTTTCTTAAAACCTAATTTCATTCCCAATACTATTATTATTATGGACACATAAATATCATCTCATTCTTTTAAAATTGTTTTTAAATAAACTATTCAAATTTCATTTTTCCACTCTAATTATGATAAATTTTACAACTGTTCTTCATTCATTTGGTGAGGATATTTTCAATCAAGCTGCCATTTATATCATATAAATAAAAAAAATACATGTTTATTTTCCAATGCAAAAGACCAAACTATCATTGATTCCACTAGTTAACATCTCATATGTGCTTCAGATTGTGAGTTTTTTTTTTTAATATACTGTTTTTTTTTTATTTATTTATTTCACTTGTTTTCACTTAAAAGTCACCTTGGTAATCTAATACTTTAATTGGTAATCTATTACCACATAGAAGACTTCGAATTTCACTTCAAAACTAAGCTTCAATAATGTATTACATCAAATAGTAATTTATTACCTGACTTAATCTTGAATTCTTTTAAATGAATCAAGTTTTATTTTATATCAAAACACTTTGTAATCTCTTACATTATATTTTCACATGAAATGAGAAACATTGACTTTTATGTTTACTAAAACAATATGTATTCTTAACAATTAATCAATCATGATAAGCAAACATAGTCAAGCCTAAGTCTAATTAACAGTCAATACAATATCATTTTCACATAGGCCATAAAATACAAAATGAAGCAAACTAAATCAAAGCTAAATATAGCTACATCAAAACTAAAACTTCATCTTCAATCTTCACAAAGATCTTTAAGAGGGGCTTCAAACTCAACAAACTTATATCCACATAATGGGATATTTTAATTTCTAAAACAACTTTCACCCTCCTCTAGTTTTTATGTATCTCAACTTAAATGTGTATCTCATCATACAACTTAACATCTTAATCAACAAACAATTTACAACTTAGACAACTTCCATTCGTAAGTCAATGCATAATGAACTATAGTTGTACAACATTATAAGTCATGCGAGTAATCAATATACTACATTCATTCTCAACACTTAGTCAAATAACAACAAGTGTTTTTCATCCAACAAATCATGTCTGATGCCATTCTCCTAATGCTCGATGTCATTGAGGTAGAGAGCTTCTAACTCGCCCACACCCAACGTCAATCCATCTGTGTCCAACTTGGATGAGATAGAGAGTCCCTATGTCAATCATGTTTGGTATAGATAAACATACATGCAACCTCATCCGGGTAGAGAGTATTTGCTTGACTCACGCTGGGTGCCACAAAACCAATGGCTTATGTTGTTCAGGTAGAGAGTTTCTATCTTGATCATGTCTGGTGCCACTTATTTTGGGTTCAAGATCACCAATTTAGAGTCCCTTGAATCACATTTGACACTTCTCATTCTATGCGACATAACCAAGTTAGAAAGCTCCTCATTGACCCATGCCCAATGCTACCAAACTCACGCTTGGCATCGTAAAGGCAAAGAGTCCTTGACTTGAGCCACACCCGATGCCATGAAGGCACACCCGACGCGATAAAGATTTTTTGCACTTGCAGAATCTCATTTTGGCTTAAAACCTACAAATCCTCAGCCAGACCAACATGTAATACAAATTTATACATTTATACGTTGTATGCTACTCGATTTCAACAAAATAAATAACATGCAATCACAAGAGTGCAAGATCAATTCTCTCAAAAACATCTTTAAGAAAAAATAAAACTCAAGACAATTCATCATCTCATTTTAATGCAATTCAAACAACCATCAATTGATGAATTCAATCAAAAATCATGTAATACAACTCAATAATTCATTTATCACAAACTTCTCTTACCTCATATCACTCAAACCACAAGAAAAGGGAAAAAAAATTAAAAGTTTCTAAGGTCGTCATATGACTTTCTCTCAGCTCTTAAAGTCATAAATATTCAATCTCTCAACTCAACTTAGCTATATGGAAGGGTTTGATGCTCTTAAGTAATTTAGAAGAAAAAGAAATATTCTTAGCTCCAAAACTTCTCTCTTTAACTCTTTTCTAAGTTTTCATGAGATATGAACTTATAAAATTCATGTCTTAAGAAAAATCTTATATATCCTTTTTGTAAACTTGATTTAATCTTAATTAAAATTATCTTAACAACTTAACTTTTAAAGATCCTTTGACCCTTAAAATTCTAAAACAATAATAAGTATAACAATTCAACAATTAATTAAAAAACATATAACATACAATTAATCAGTTATAATTTCTTCAATTTAATTATATTAACTTTTTGCAATTAGTTCAAAAAATACAATAAACACTCAGAAGTCACAAGTCACACAGGTCACAATATCGTGTGTTTCACGAGTTTGAGAAGGAAAAACAAACGTACACCCAATCCTACATGTCAATCTCATCACCCCCGATATAAATTTTCATACGTTGGATTTCTGGACAAATTTGGGGGAATATCTAATGAAGTTAATGAAGGTTTTATTTTTCTTCGAGCTTGTTTGTATTCTTAGGTTTATACTTTATAACTTGTCCACATTTTTTTTACAATGATACGAACAGAATTTGAATCTAAAATTTGGTGTGAAATATTTCAACACTCTACCATGAAGTTAATACTAATTGGTTAATTATAACTTTATCAAGTTTTATTTTATATCAAAACACTTTGTAATCTCTTACATTATATTTTCACATGAAATGAGAAACATTGACTTTTATGTTTACTAAAACAATATGTATTCTTAACAATTAATCAATCATGATAAGCAAGATTGTAGACACCCAAGCTTATTTAAGATTCAAGAAGATCCATGTATTATTGGCCCCATGAGGCCTAGTATGATTGTGTAAATATCCAGCAAATTGGGTTTCACATACACTATTAACTTGTAGGTCATCCCAGAGTGTTCTCCACACTAGCTACCCGCGTAATTCTCACTACACCCTTGATCCATTAACTCACAATGTAAGCACTTAGTTACTCAACAGATCTAACAAGTGAGTCAAATCTTCTTATTTACTTGCTCTACCTCGCTTTATACTTTATATTGTATTGTTAGTTTGAATTACCACTTGCTTAAGCATAGCGGTGTTTATTGGTTTTTTTGAAAAATTTAACCTGAACCGTTTTATAAAAAAAAGAAATCGGATATATTTTTTATAAAGTGGATAAGTTTGTTTTTCTATAAAATATGAATATTATTTTAAAGTTAGATCGGTTCAGTATGGTATAGTTATCTATTTTTTATTTATATATAGATTGAATTTTTAAGAAAATTAAACTGAACAATACCGTTCCACTTTATAAAAATAGATCAGATAACTGAATCGATTTTATAAAGTGGATTGGTTCAGATTTTTTTTTCAAAATGAATTAGATTTTCCAATATGAAGCGAATCGATTATAGATCAGTTCGGAGCAATTTAGATTTTTTGCACACCCCTAACAATGTTTATAAATAATCATCATTATTAATTCACTCACTACACACAAAAAAAAAATATATATATAAGTAAAATATTTAAGTTTTTCTTACTGCACAATGAATGTAAAATGATTTTACAACCAATTACATATCATTATTGAAATAAAATTCTACAATACTTATTTATTATAAAAGTTTATAACTTATCATGAATGATGAAATGTAAAACTATTTCACATGTATCGCCTATTTTTCCAAGATATTTTATCTCATCAAAGTGATAAAAGCTAATAAATGCAATGTTTAATATAAATATAAATATGATTTTTAAAAAATTAATTATTTTTTTAAATTAAATCATATTTTACGCAATACAATTTTTTAGATATTATTATTTAACAAAAACATTTTTAGAAATTATTTTAACTTTTTATCTAATTCAATTTTTTTATTTATCATACTTATTTATGAATTAAATTTTAATTTTTTAAAATAAATTATTATTAATTAAAAATAATTTTGTATCATAATATAATTATTTATCTTAAATAAAAATATATCATTTATATATTTACAAATATCTATTTATACAAATTTTAAATCTAATTTATATATTCAAATATAGTATTATTTTTATATATAATTATTAAAAAATTAATTATATACAATAAACACTTAATATGAAATACACATACTAAAATACTATTCTTAATTAAATATCAAAACTATGTTACATTATATTGAAAAAGATAATATATATATATATATATATATAGAGAGAGAGGAATTTGTTTACTATAAGAGTAAGTCTATCTAGACTTACTTCGTTCAATAACTCATGTTCTACATCAAATTTTAACAATCTAACTGTTCAATTTAAAGTTCTTA